AAAATGATCCTGTCACCATCGGATATGTTTTTAAATGAGGTCTTGGTTGAATTCTGGTTTACTTTTCAAAAATCAGCCTCCTTGAGTTCTCAATTGTTCTTGAGTTAGAACTGTTCCACCTCTTCTGCCATTTTTTAAACTGTCACTATTTTTACTGTAAACACTACTGTGAATCTTCAAGGCAACTACAAAAACGTATGCCTCGCAAAAATCTGATATCTCACATCATACCACCCATGAATTATTTTACACACTTCCATTTAAATTGTTCTGACTAGAAGTTTTTGGAACAATTGAGATTTTTAAAACAATTGTTTCTTTTTTTGTTTTTAACCTTTAATATGAAAGGAAATTTCTAAAATGTAAGAGTTCATTTCTAAATTTTACCCACACACTATTATGGTAACGAGTTTGCAGCATATATAATGTTTTTCCCCAGTAATAATTCTCCTTTTTTAAATGAGGTGTTCGGGAGACGACGACTCTAATATTTGTGTAACATGTGCCGTGGAACAGCTACTGGACTTTAGCATGACAAAATCAGTTCCTACTTTCAAAGTCACCATGTGTGAATCTTTGTTGAATCCAAGTCTGTTCACATTAAGAGCATAGTTTCTGATGCTTTGCAGTCTTGTTGCTGATTTGCAGTCCTCATACTTACAAGTGTAAATCTGTAGCTCAGAGAGGTTGAGCAACAAGAAAGTTGGTGGCTGGGTTGCTCTGCAAAGAGGATTTATGGGGATATTCTGGTTTTATCATTGAGAAAAGCTGATGAGGATGGTTTTAGTTCACATTTGATCTATATGGGCACCCATAAAGGGGGTCAGTTGCACTGCTGAGGAGTGGAGCCAGAGTTTGCAGCTGGAATAATCCGCTTCCATTGTATAATCATTCATTCATTCATTCATTCAAATCATTTGTAGACATTATTCTGTGCCAGGATGCAATCTGAGTGCTCTGTCTTCATGGGGGTAGATATTTTAACTTTACCCTCAGTGGGGGGAGACAACCAATCAATAAACAAACAGGCTAATTTCAGAGTCTGATAAATGCTACCAGGATTATAGTAGGTCGGTCGATGTGACCAAGAGTTACATGGAGAAGGGGAGACTGATCAGAAAAGCCCCTCTGAGAAGGGGCCACTGGAGCTGAGACCTGAAGGATGCAAAGGAGACAACTATGGGATGGTGCAGAGGGAGAACTTTGTAGTCAGAGAAATCTGCAGTGGCAGAGAGCCACAGTCAAGAAAAGGATGAGCAGGTTCAAGGAGCAGCAAGGAGGCCATTGTGTCTCAGGCACGGAGAGCAGGTGGTGAGTGCTCGGAGATGAGGCAGGGAGGTTGGCTGGGGCCAAATCCTGCAAGTGCTTCTAGCCCTGCTAAGGGTTGGGACTTTATTAGAAATCCAACAGAAAGACGTTGCAGGAGTTAAAACAGAGGAACATCATGACCTAGTCCATTTTACAAAGAATGTTCTAGCAGTTCTCTCAAGAGCAGACTGTGGGAAGTAGAAGCCTGTTGTCCAACCTAGTGGACAATATGGTGGCCCAGTCTAGACTGGTGGCATGGAGTGGAGGAGAAATGGTCTCTGGAGTCTGTCACTCAGTCGGAGAACTGACCGGGCTTGCTCATGAGTCAGTTGTCCTGGAAATGGGGACGTTTCATGTGGCCAGAGTCAGGCAGTGGGAAGGGACAGAACTAGAAATTTAGGTTGGAAAAGGGAATTTTTGCCACTACGAAGTTGGATCTTCAACCCAAAATCAACAAGGAGGTTCTACAGGGAAGAATTCTTTCTTACTGTGCCCTGGCATAATTGTGATAGTTTTCTTCTGTTACATAAGTGTTCATAAGAATAAACTTGCCACTCCTCCACTTATACCAAGATTTACAGATGATGCAATCTTATTAAACAAATCATCGATGGGGAGAGACAAACAGATACTCAGTATACACCCAGGTCGCCCATATTCTGGCTGCCTTCCCTCCCTCGCCTCCACCGCCGGTGGCAAACAAAATCACTTAAGTCAAGTGAACAGTTTTAAATGTATAATATTGAAATGTGTTTTTTAAAAACTCCCTGGAACCTGCAGCCATTGTTAAAATACACTCAGTTTGACGGCTGCTTTGGCACTTTTTGTATGAGGCTTTTCAATGCATTCCCTTATCGGGTGCATGAGATTTAGTCTGTTCTGCAGAGGAAAGCAGACAAAAAGGGTCTCTCAGCACGAGTTACTCTTCTGTAAAGGTTATAGTAAACATGTCAATGCCTAATTAAGCAGAAAATTTTATCTGTATTGTCGGGGAGGTGTTTGCTGTCTCCGATTTTTCTTCTGGGAAATCCATTTAGAAGGACAAAGTGGATTTGTGAGGTTGAGCTGGTCCGGAAAACTCAGCTTCCAAATGTCAGCAGGGAGAAAAAAAGAACACTTCTTTTCTCCTTGTTTGAAAATGACTATATTGGCTGGGTAGATTGTGCGTGTGCGTGCATGCATGCATATATATTTCATCAACACATACACAAAATAACATGAATTATTTCCCAACTTCTTGCTAAGTGTCAGGCATGGTGCTAGGCCCTGAAAACACTGAGATGAATAAAACCCAGCAACACACGCAGCCAATTAAGATGACGGAAAGCCCTCCTTCCCAACCCCCAGATTTCTTCACTTGCTCTACGTGCATATGTGTGCCCACACACGCCACACACTTTGTCGCTGTGATCACATTGCCCACAGGTGTGGTCGCTGTGTGTCTTAGCCTGGAACAGTCCTGCCTGATGCTTGGTGACCCAGTATAGGTCTTAGAGTAATAGCACCCTCTTCATTCTCAGAAGGGACCCTGTTTGATTGACAAAATTTTCCTGATTCCTTGGAGTGTTTTACTTGCTTCAGTAACAACTTTTGTTTATTAATTTTATAACATAGACTTTCTCAGGGAACCTAATGGGATAACGATTTTTGAAAACATACAAATTAATCCAGAAAAAAAATATGACGATAATAATAGGAATAGTCTAATTTGGTTATTTTAAACTTAAAGTTTTCTTGCAAGTAGTAGTGACCACTTATTAATGGTTGACTAGATTGTGTAGTTTTAGTTTTTTTCAAATCAATTTATGGACCTAGAGACCAGCAAAGTCAATTTAATGAAAAATCCACCTCAACCTGCTGGGAAAGCAAAAACCCCACGCCGATAACAATAAATTAAGGAACGTAACCATCAAACTCGTGTCTAGGCTGAATTTTTATACTTCACCTTGTTCTATGGTATCATGCCCTTAAAATCGTGGGCTCTTGTCTCCGAGGCAGTTGTCTATTTAGTGACGCTTCAGTGAAATTCTACTGCTTAACCTTTAACCTTTGGGTCTCCTGAAAGTTTTCTTATTCATTGGGTTGGTAATAGAAAGGGAGTGGAGCCTCCTTGGGTTCTCTCATCAGACAGACTTGGGTTTACGTCACGGCTCTGCAATACGAGCTGTGTGGCCTTGGGTGAATTTCTTTACCTTGAAGTCTTAAATTTCTTTCCCCACCTGGAAATGAAAATAATAATAGTACCTACTTCACGTGGATATTAGATGAAATGAAAGAATGTGTTTTTGTAGTGGTTCGCTTAGCTCCTAGGAGAGAGTAAGTGCTCAATAAATATTCCCCTTCTGCAGCAACAGTGGGATTTGGAGTTCCTGACTACAGTAGCTGCCTTATTCTTAACAAAGCCCTCATCTCTTTTAACTCCTCTGCTTGCCTCACAGGACAGACGTCCAATGTATGACCGTCCCTTTTCCAAGCATTATCCTAGGTGACTGGGAACAACAGAATCTGCCCTAGGGTTTTTCTCGAGTAGCCACCTGCCACTGAGAGAAGACATAGAAGCTCATGAGGAAAATATTACATTGAGCTCATGCAGGCCTTGCAAATCTAAGACTGGTTCTCCTTTTCCTTGGTACCTCTTTGGTTGCACTTTATCCACATGGCTCTGAAAAGGCCAGATGAGGAAAATGAGCCCGTGGACATAAATAGTCACCTTCCCCATCTTCGTTGATGGATTTTTGCCCATTAATTCCCTTTGCATCCACTCTCTGATGTCTTCATTTTCCCTATGCAATTACTGGTCCTAAATCCTCTCAGAGAAGGGAAAGCATGCATTCCCAATAGCATTTCACATCTACAAATCAAACGTATAATTGGCATCTCATGACGGGTACCCACAAATCACGGAGCATTTGAAATTACAGGCACAAGATCGAGAGGGCATTTTCAGCCTTGTCTGGAAAGGTCTTCATAAACCTGTTGGAGAATAATAGGATAGTCACCAAATCTCCCATTCTAACACCATTTGCTATTATTTTTAAATCATTATATTTGCTGAGCATACATAATTTTTCAACTCTCAATGGAAGATTTTATTTGCATACCCCATAATCTCTCTTCCTGCTGTGTGATTCTCTACAAATAAAAATGTTATAGCAAAAAAGACACTCGCTATTAAAAATATAATGGCTGTTCATCCAAATTACTTCTGAGCACTCTGAAATGATTGATTTAGATGATTATATACCAATATACCCAAGTTTCTTGGTAAACCTTGCCACCGAGATGCCAAAGGTCAAGTCTTAGTTCGCTCATCAGCCGGCATTAATCCCTGCAGAGATGCGGCTTTGGTAGGATTTACATTTCAGTCCAGCTTTCCTAAAAGTCACACGCATGAATCTAGCAACTGTCCCATTACAGGAAAATTAGAATGATATTCCTTAAATGTGAAAATTATTAACTTGGGATTCTGGGCATTTATAAAGAATTATGATTCCTGCCAATTAAAAAAAAAAGGCAGTCGATGGCACAAAAGACATCATTTGGCTTTTTCCTGTCTCCGTTGCGCACAGTTCATAAAAGTGTAGATTAAATTGCTGTTCCGTTCGCCACGAGAAACACTTAGTCTAAGTGGGAAAATTGGAATGGAATATGGAACTGTTATTGTTATTTCAACTTTTCTCCTTCTCTTGCAGGCTATGCCCAGGAGGAACAGCTGAAAGAAGAGGAAGAAATAAAAGAGGAAGAGGAAGAGGAGGAGGACAGCGGTTCTGTAACTCAGCTTCAGGGTGGCAATGACACAGGGACAGATGAGGAGATAGAAACAGGCCCAGAGCAGAAAGGCTGCTTCAGCTACCAGAACTCTCCAGGAAGTCATTTGTCCAATCAGGATGCCGAGAACGAGTCTCTGCTGAGCGATGCCAGTGATCAGGTGTCGGACATCAAGAGCATCTGTGGCCGAGATGTGTCAGACAAGAAAGCGAACACTCACCCCAAGCTTCCAAGCGAAGCACACAATTGCATGGATAAAATGACGGCTGTCTATGCCAACATCTTGTCTGATTCCTACTGGTCAGGCCTGGGCCTTGGCTTCAAGCTGTCCAATGCTGAGAGGCGGAATTGTGACACGCGCAATGGCAGCAACAAGAGTGATTTTGATTGGCACCAAGACGCTCTGTCCAAAAGCCTGCAGCAGAACTTGCCTTCTAGATCCGTCTCGAAACCCAGCCTGTTCAGCTCGGTCCAGCTGTACCGGCAGAGCAGCAAGATGTGCGGAACCGTGTTCACGGGGGCCAGCAGGTTCCGCTGCCGGCAGTGCAGCGCGGCCTACGACACCTTGGTCGAGCTGACCGTGCACATGAACGAGACGGGCCACTATCAAGATGACAACCGCAAAAAGGACAAACTCAGACCCACGAGCTATTCAAAGCCCCGGAAAAGGGCTTTCCAGGATATGGACAAGGAGGATGCTCAGAAGGTCCTGAAATGTATGTTTTGTGGCGACTCCTTCGATTCCCTCCAAGATCTGAGCGTCCACATGATAAAAACAAAACATTACCAAAAAGTGCCTTTGAAGGAGCCAGTACCAACCATTTCGTCGAAAATGGTCACTCCGGCGAAGAAACGCGTCTTTGATGTCAACCGGCCATGTTCCCCCGATTCGACCACAGGGTCGTTCGCAGATTCTTTTTCCTCCCAGAAGAACACCAGCTTGCAGGTGAGCGCCAACAACCGCTACGGCTACCAAAACGGCGCCAGCTACACCTGGCAGTTTGAGGCCTGCAAGTCCCAGATCTTGAAGTGTATGGAGTGTGGAAGCTCGCACGACACCTTGCAGCAGCTCACCACCCACATGATGGTCACAGGTCACTTTCTCAAGGTCACTAGCTCTGCCTCCAAGAAAGGGAAGCAGCTGGTGTTAGACCCACTGGCAGTGGAGAAAATGCAGTCCTTGTCAGAGGCCCCAAACAGCGATTCCCTGGCTCCCAAGCCGTCAAGTAACTTGGCGTCTGACTGTGCAGCCTCTACGACCGAGTTAAAGAGAGAGAGTAAAAAAGAAAGGCCAGAGGAAGCCGGCAAGGATGAGAAAGTCATAAAAAGCGAGGACTATGAAGATCCTCTGCAAAAGCCTTTGGACCCCACAATAAAATACCAGTATCTGAGGGAGGAGGATTTGGAAGATGGCTCCAAGGGTGGAGGGGACATTTTGAAATCTTTGGAAAATACAGTCACCACAGCCATCAACAAAGCCCAAAATGGGGCTCCAAGCTGGAGCGCGTACCCCAGCATTCACGCAGCCTACCAGCTGTCGGAGGGCACCAAGCCGCCTCTGCCCGTGGGATCCCAGGTCCTGCAGATCCGACCTAATCTCACCCACAAGTTGAGGCCGATTGCACCCAAGTGGAAAGTCATGCCACTCGTTTCTGTGCCCACAAACCTGGCCCCATACACGCAAGTCAAGAAGGAGTCGGAAGACAAAGATGAAGCCGTGAAGGAGGGTAGGAAAGAAAGTCCCCATGAAGAGGCCTCGTCTTTCAGCCACGGTGAGGGGGACTCTTTCTCCAAAAGTGAAACGCCTTCAGAATCCAAAAAGCCGGAGCCATGTCCCCTGAAGGAAGAGGACAAGCTGATGAAAGAGTGTGGCGAGAAGGAGAAACCCCAGCCCCTAGAGCCCACGTCGTCTCTTAGCAACGGCTGTGCCCTGACCAGCCACCCCGCGGGCCTCCCGTGCATCAACCCGCTCAGTGCCCTGCAGTCCGTCTTGAACAATCACCTGGGCAAAGCCACGGAACCCTTGCGCTCGCCTTCCTGCTCCAGCCCGAGCTCAAGCACAATTTCCATGTTTCACAAGTCCAGTCTCGGCGTCATGGACAAGCCGGTGTTGAGTCCCGCCTCCACGAGGCCGGCCAGCGTGTCCAGGCGCTATCTATTTGAGAACAACGACCAGCCCATCGACCTGACCAAGTCCAAAAGCAAGAAAGCCGAGTCCTCGCAAGCACAATCCTGCACGTCCCCGCCTCAGAAGCACGCTCTGTCTGACATCGCCGACATGGTCAAGGTCCTCCCCAAAGCCACCACCCCAAAGCCCGCTGCTTCTTCCAGGGTCCCTCCCATGAAGCTGGAGATGGATGTCAGGCGCTTCGAGGATGTCTCCAGCGAGGTCTCGACTTTGCATAAAAGAAAAGGCCGGCAGTCCAACTGGAACCCTCAGCATCTTCTGATTTTGCAAGCTCAGTTCGCCTCCAGCCTCTTCCAGACATCAGAGGGCAAGTACCTGCTGTCCGATCTGGGCCCACAAGAGCGTATGCAAATCTCGAAGTTTACAGGACTTTCCATGACCACCATCAGCCACTGGCTGGCAAACGTCAAGTACCAGCTTAGGAAAACGGGGGGGACGAAATTTCTGAAAAACATGGACAAAGGCCACCCTATCTTTTATTGCAGTGACTGCGCCTCCCAGTTCAGAACCCCTTCTACGTACATCAGTCACTTGGAGTCTCACCTGGGTTTCCAAATGAAGGATATGACCCGCATGGCAGTGGATCAGCAAAGCAAGGTGGAGCAAGAGATCTCCCGGGTATCGTCGGCTCAGAGGTCTCCGGAAACAATAGCTGGTGAAGAGGACACAGACTCTAAATTCAAGTGTAAGTTGTGCTGTCGGACATTTGTGAGCAAACATGCGGTAAAACTCCACCTAAGCAAAACGCACAGCAAGTCACCCGAACACCATTCACAGTTTGTAACAGACGTGGATGAAGAATAGCTCCGCAGGTATGGGTTTGCTGCCAGGCGATTGTGACAGTAGCCTTGGGAGGAGCTTCTGGAGGGGAGACAGGTCTGCTTAGAGGCAGCTAACGTCTCCCAGTGCCAAGCAGGAGAGTAGCTTGCTGGAGTAGGACTTGTTTTTATGAAAGATCAGAGCGTGAGAAATAAGCCCTAACCATCTCTCAAGTCCTCCAGTTTAGAGTTGAGGACTAGAATAAAATGAGTTTAGAGAGATGACGTTCACAGATTACTGCTTCTTCTAGGCCTTCACTATACATGATCCCCTGAGTTTCCCAAGGCAACCTCCAGCGTCCAGCCAAGGGTACCCCTCATTTTAATTAATAAGCACTAACTTCTCTCACCATTCCATTTCACCACCCATCTGTCCATAGCAACGCCAATGACTTATAAAGTGATGAAAAGGTGAGCGGCAGAATAAAGATGGGACAGTTGCTAGAAGCGCTCACTCTGCAGAGATTTCTTAATCAGCTCATGAATAGCTTAAAGTTGCCCTTATTATTGTTACTTGTAATTAATGCTTTTTGCAGCTTACTTTTAGCAATTGCCACCTTGCACCCCCTTCCCTTGGCTTCTTTCCTGCGTTGAGTTTCCCATGAAAGAGCGCGTGCCCTTGACAATGGCCGCAAACCACCCTTCTCTGCAGAACATTGAGATGGAAAGAGAAGAAGCTTATTTTCTTCTCTCATTTTTTTTTTTTGCTTTTCTTGAGGATAGACTAATATCAGAGTCTACCTTTAACAAAGATAGATGCAATGCATGCCTTTGAGATTTTATTTTATGCAAACAAATGGCTTTCTGTACACCTCTCGTACAGGTGCATGTACAATGTGCATGGGGGTCTCACAGCTTCAAGGTAATTTCCATCATGTATCATAGACGTTCCAGGCCTCATATGGTCATGAATGCTCAAGGCATCCATGAGGACAGAGACCAAGGTCGATGACCTCAGCAGATTAGTCTCACCAGCCATTTTCAATGTTGAGAACAAGCCAGGCTGGGTCTTAACAAATCTCTTTCATCTCCCTTGTTGTATTTACTCTACTTCCTTTTCTCTTCCTTCCAACAAGATACCCCCACACGCTAGGCAACCTCACACATATTCAGGTTGTCCTCTACCTCGGGCCACACCCCAAGACAGGGACCCAACCTGAACTAAACCTCCTGCATTGATCAGTCCACTTGATGTCATGCTAAATTACAGATTTGCTCTCAATTAATTAATTCACAATAAGATATGAAAAGCTAAAGACAGCGTAACATAGAAGCCCTCACCACTCCCTATTGTCAGATCATTTGTTTTTAAATAAGAGACTTTCGGAACAAGCTACGAAAGTAGGGAAGTTGCAGGTGGAGAGGGGTATTTGTATGGCATGGCTTTGGGCGCACCTCACATCAGGTAGAGAGATTTACAGAGCGTGAGGATGGCCAAAATGAAATAAAAGATGAAAATATCTGATGTGGGACTTTTCCCTCCATGAGAAGATTTAAGCTTCTTATAGGGGGAACCATCCTATCACTGTAACAGCCGTCTGGGCCCAAATGAAGACTATCTTTTTTGTTTGCATGTTTTTATCATGATGATTAAATGTGTTCCTGGCAGATTCATCTCTTGCTTTCCAAGCATGATTTCTTTAGCTCACGCTATTGAAAGAAAAGCCGAAACGCATCCATTGAATACATATATGAGCTTGGGGCTTTGCGGCGTCCAATTTGTTTGCTGTATAACATTTCAAATAACATTTTATATAACTTGCAATTATGCTTTTCTGGTCCTTAAAAAAAAAAAAAAGGTGGACATACACAGAATACCTAGAGAGAAGAAAGATGTTTCAAATCCAATAGTGGTGGGTCCAACCCATGGTGAAGAGGACAAATAGGTAACGTTTATTTGTGCTATAATAAAGACCAATTTTCCACCTGTTAGGTTTGTAATAATTTTTTAAAAAATTGATATCACTGTCAAAGCATGTGATACATAAACAGGGAGAGGGAAAAGAAAAGAAAGCTTGTATCCATCCTTAGTCCAAATCCGAAATGTATGATATCTGTTTTAGGGACACGAAGGAAAACCAATAATTTGGAAAAACATACACAAAAGGTACTTCCAAATCTTTTAAATACATAGATAAGATAGCTATTTTTTCATCTCCCTGCATTTCCACAGAATAAATATTTCTGATTTGGACCCTCGAAGCAGTGTTATTATGCAAAACCGAAACTCCATCCTTATACATTCATCTGTAGGCTGTGATTCTGAGAAGATTACAGAAAAACAGGTTTGAGTATTTGAGACTCACTCAGAGCAATGTATGTTGTACATATAGGAAAGATGGTGCAGGGACTGGGCGTGTTTGTGTTCATACTAAAAATGTTCCAATCAGCCCAAATGGTTCCCCCATCTGTACAAAGGTGGCTTCTTGGGGATTTGGTCACCTAACAAAGAATGCATCCTGTTTTAGAACATTTATGCAATACCTTACCCACTGCTTAGAATTATGCACATTATGTTTTTAGCTAGCTGGTCACAGAAATGACATCACTGTTTTCTGGAACTCTAATCTTAGTTGGTATGCATGACAGCATGAATTGTGCAAAATGACATGATGTTTTGGAAAACATAGTCAACATTTTATGGAAAATTTGGGAGTTTTACCCTGTTTTCTGAAAGATGAAAATTTTGACCTGGATTTTCTTTGATTTCTTGGATATATCTTAAAGCCTGCAAAATGCTCTGCCAAATATTAAATGCAACTTTTCATTAAAAATTCATTAGAAAATATTAAATGTGCATCCCTATTTTAGGACATAAGAAATCTAAAACAATTTCAATATGTATTTGTGTACGTCTTTAAAAGCCACATGCTCTTGAATAACAGAAATTAAACAGAGAGCAAATCAATGAGTCTAAAATGCATAAGGGCTTGAAATTATAGTCATTACCGTGTAATACAATGTACAAGTTTAACAGCACACCTAGCCTTGAAATCGTTGGCAGGAATGTATTCTAGTCCAATGAGCTGCCACTTCTGTTGTGGATGGCTTGATAAAAACACATGTTCAGGGTGAAAAGCATGTAAGGTTGCCAGATGAAATACAGGATGGATGTCCAGTTACATTTGCATTTCAGATAAACAACAAATATGTTTTCAGTATAAGTATGGCCCAACCATCACATGGACCATACTTATATTTAAAAAGTTTTCATTGTTTATCGGAGGTTCAGGTTTAACTGGGCATCCTGTATTTTTATTTTCTAAATCTGGCAACACTAACAGCAAGGACTATATGGCCGTCTAGGAGGAGCCAAACAGGCTGGACTAATTAATGTCTGGAAGAAGCATCAACCATTCTTTCTTCCATTAAATAAGCCTGCCTGCCTTCCTTCCTTCCTTCCTTCCATTTTTTCTTCTTTTCTTCCCTCCCTGTGTTCCTTTCATCCTTCGGCAAATATTGGTCATGTTTTGCTATGCACCAGACTCTATTTAGCAGCAGAGATATAATAGTGAACCAGCAGTCACGCAATTACAACAGCACTATGTGCCAGGCCTTGCGGCAAATGGTTCACAAACATTATTTTACTTTACTCTCACAAACAGCCCTGTGAGGTAGGGGTTGATTCAGCCACGTTACGAAGGAACAGATGGAGGCAGAGCAGTCCTGCATGGATTTCCCAAGGTCCCACAGTCTCTGAGCCTCACTCATTTGTTGCGATATATCTAGAAAGCCCTGGTTCCGTGGCAAGCACTGTGCTAATCCCAGGGAATAAACCAATGGCCGGGACAAGATTCTGCCTTTGAGGCCAGTGGCGGACACATAGATGGACAACTCAAGGGTAAATGCTGTCCAGTCCCCGGGGGAAGCCAGGGTGGGGAAGAGCAGTTGGAGAGGGCAGAATGCTGGGTTCAAACCCCCAACTTGCCCACTCTTTAAGATGGGCCCCACTTCTCTATCTATAAAATATGGACATAATACCCCTCTCATAGGAAGGTTGTGAGAATTAAATAAACGTGTGTAATTATTTTCCATAAAGCCTAGTACATGGTAGGTTTACAAGAAAAGCCAGTTCTAGACAGAGCCTCTATGGGCACTTACCTGTTCTGCAACCTCACCTGAAGTGTATAAAACCTGCAGAGTCTTCTTAGGTTGAACTAATTAATACCCCCATGAGGACCTCAGCCTGCTATTTGATTAGGATAACAACAACAGCAAAACTACCATTTAGTGGCCTTTTTCTGAGTATTCATATCATCCTCACTTTGCAGAGAGGTAAACCAAAGTTCAAAGAGTTTCATGATTTGTCCAAGAACACACAATAAACATAGAGGTAGGAATCGAACCCAGGACTGTCCAATGCTCATCAACTTTCTTCTGCTTCCTGGTTTCCTCCTGCTTGCCTGGTGTTTTCTGGGTGCTCCCCATGGCCAGGTGTACCTCCAACAGCTCAGAAGAAAAGCTGTAAAATGTGGCGTAAGAGTTGAGAAAGGAACAAGGGCTCCCCTGGGCATCTTTGGAGGCTCCAGCTATAAATCAAATATTGCAATGCGGGGGCCTGGGACTGACCTGAAGGGTGAAGCAGAACATTCTTGCTCTCTTTTTTTTAATGCCCTTGGGTAGCCAGGGAATTGCACATTTACCGCATGGTGTCTAACCAAGAAATTACTCAAATTCCAATGGAAAAAATATATATACATAAGATTTTTTTTAATCCTCATCCTCTCAGGAATTCATTTTGGAAAAATAAAATGAGAATCAAGAGAACAGGGTCAAGTACAGACTGTAGCATTTCTCAAGCAGCGAGTAACAAACGCACCGTCTTCCCTAACGTTGGCATTTTATCCCAGCGTCCTGGCTTGCCTCCCCGCGCGGCAGCCCCCGTGCCACTTTCCTCCCTCATTTGGACTTTTGAATGCTCGATCCTGACGTGTATGATTTGGCGCTTTAATATAGAGTAACATTATTTTTCATTTACTCCAATCTGCCATCGGTATCA